AATCAGGAGGAAAGTTAAAGCCAAATAAAAAGATAGGATTTGGTTACAAGACTCGCTATAGAAGAGATTAGTTTTTACTACACAAATCCCCAAAATCCATTGATTTTACATCTGGAGCCAACATAAATCGTGGGCGATATCATGGAGGGATATCGGCGGATTAATGAAAATAACTGGGATTGGATGATGATCCCCCGTATTACTGCCAACAAATGCCCAATACCCAGCAATGACTCGATTACTCAAACTCGGCCTAAAAAGTTGAACTCGAACTCGTGTTTTTCAAACTCGGCATATTCAAGCTCGGGTTTCCTCCAATTACTCGGTACTCGAAGTACTCTAGCTTTACTATAAAAAGTCCCAACATTTCAATTACTTCCCAACAACTCTACAAAACTTATTCAAAATCTACAAATCTTCAAACATCTGTTTCGCCTACAGCAACAATTCTTCATGCTTGGCCTTCTTCAAATTGAGCTCGACACCGGCCCTGGAACAAGGAAGTCGTCATCGCTGTGCACCTTGCTGCTGCTCGTCATCGCAACATTCCTTGTGCTTGAAGTACCCGGACAGTCTAACAATGACGGAAGCGTCGGAGTCGCCAATCACAAATTGATTGGCAAGAATGTTACGCTCGTCGACTTCACCATCAAGGCAAACGAGACAAACTTCAACTCCGACGAGTACAGGAAGCGTTTCCCGAAAGCATGTGATGTTAAGATCGACAGCAAAACCATGTAAGTTTGCTTTTCAATGATTTAATTCAGATCAAATTATTTTCTATTCCAGTGAGCTTCAGTACAACAACATCACTGGATGCACAGTGGACCTGCTCGTAAAGAACGAAGAATACAACAACAAGATCAAGTTCAAGGCTGGAGTGAGGAACAAAGGAGTAAAGCTCAACGATTGTCTTGATAAGGGTTATCGTATCGAGCAAAGCTTTAATAATATGTAGGCTTTAAATTTTAGTAAAATTAGATTTCAAGCCTTTTAGTATGCCGTTCGTCTACAGCAAAAATAACAAGGTCGTCGAAAGGCTAAGACATGGTCCAATCAATTCTTACGAACGAGAATGTAGCAGAGCTACGTGTGGAATGTGCATGCCGTGGACGACTCTCGAAATCTCATGGAGCAGAGTGGTGAATGTCTATGCGTACACCCATTTAGGTAAAATAAAGCTGTTAATTGTACACATCTAAATTGTATTTTTGTTTTTTCAGTCGGCGATTTGGGTCCAGGCAAGGATCAAGCTAAAAAACCTGTTGGTGAAGAAATGACTCTCGATATGGAGATAGAAGACGGAGGCAAATTCTCGATGAATTTTGATGGAGAAAAGGAACCCTTCGACTCGTCAATGGACAAAATTTTATGCGTTCCAAATAACAATCCCTTCGTCGCCCCAGAAACATGGACCATCACAAATGGGGATCTGAAAGGTAAACGTCTACTTGTCTTCAGCCTGCTTCCAGTGAGCGCGTCTGTTGTGTTCGATGGTAAAAAGCTCGTAGATAGAAAAGCCAGGACGCGTTGTGATCTCTTCGTCCAATTTGTGAGATTTTACATAAATTTTGAAAACCTCTAAATTTATCTAATGCAGGACAGAAATTACTACGAGCTGCTTTATGTCTCTCCCCCACCGCCACCAACAACGACTACTACACCGACACCAAAAATCTGTTCAACGGAACCAGCTAAAACGTGTGCTCCTTGTCCTGTGGGTCCAACGGAACCAGCGTGTGCTACCTGTCCTGCGTGTCCATCGGAACCAGTTATAAAGTGTACTGTTTGTCCTTTGTGTCCAGTCCCGACTATAACTTCAACGACTACAACAAAAACGATAACTCCTCCCGCTCCTTCAGCTGAAACAAGCTCGTCATCCTCGTTTATCTGGATTTTTCTCTTCTTTTTTCTACTGATTGGCTGTATCGGCACAAATGCAGGGTGGCTCTACTTCAATATGAATAGGGATGAAAAGGAGAAGCCAGAGGAAGAGAAAATGGTAATAAACCTTTTTTAGAGGATAATGTAATCCAAAAATTTCTCTTTTTTCAGATAAGGAGTGCGAGAAGTATTGTGATAACTACAGGAGACTCGGAATATGGACCGGACGTCAATACGGCAATTCAAGTGGATGCAGAAAGTGCAAGGACGGCACCGGAAGATGGAAAGTCCGTTACAGCTCCATTGGATGTTGAGCAGGCACAGGCAGACGGTGGGGAAACTGAAGAGGGAGCGGATAATGAGGCAATGACTCCTGTAGAAACAAAGACGCTGCCGGAAGTTTGAAGAATAAATAGATATGTGAGGGAGATAAATAGATAATATTGCCTTATTGTAAATAAATATACCGTATTTCCTAAAATAGTACTCCCGGGAGTACTATTTTTCAACCCTCCTCCAAAGGGGAGTACTATTTAAGGGGGGAGTGCTAATTCAGGGGGGAGTATTATTTTTCAACCATCCTCCATGATTTTTCATAGGAAAATTTATTCAAAATTTAAAAAAATATTTTAATTTATTTCAATATATCTCAAAATAAATTCGATTAGAATTCGCTATTTAAAAAATGCCGGATCCGGACCCTGATTTTCAACTTAAAATACGGGTTATTGAGGTAAATCAAGAAGGATATAAGTGGATTTGGAGTGATATCGAGGGATATAAGGGGATTTTAAGCGATTAAGGGGGATATCAATAGATGTCAAAAAAATTATCAAGGGGATAAAGTTGTATCGTTGATATCGTGGCGTTTGATGGTAATAAAATAATTATCATTTAATTTTTGGGATATAGTGGATATATCTTTGTGTCTAAGATTTATCAGGGGTCAACTAATCTCATGTGTCTAGGGATTACCTAATCTTTGTCTAGTAATTTATCAGCATTAATCACAGATATCCTCCACATCCCTTGTGTACTTCCGATATCGGTTGATTAAGAAGGATTTATGATTCAACTTATCGCTTGAGCGCTCTTAATCAACCAAAATCGCCTAATATTACTCCCCTTTCATTATTCCCTCAAATTCCTATATCAAACCTTAATCCAATGATATCTTTTAAATCCCACTTGATTAATACAGAACCCATTTTATCACCCGATATCAATCCCTTTATATACCCAAAATCCACTTTTACCCCACCAATTAATCGGATTATATCTCTTTAATCCTCGAAAAATTTTTGATTAAAATTTCGGTTAGTTTTCGGTTAACCGAAAGCTCTCAGGTTTTGTTTATCAAAGAATCAAGTGAAACCGACAACGCTACTTAGAACAAATAAAATAATTCAATGTCTCTTATTATTTTTTCAAATATAGGGGAAAAACATTTTTGGGGGGAGTACTATTTTAGGGGGAGTACTAATTCAGGGGGGAGTACTATTTTTCAACCCTCCTCCAAAGGGGAGTACTATTTAAGGGGGGAGTGCTAATTTAGGGGGGAGTACTATTTCAGGAAATACGGTATTTTTGCTCCTTATATCTTTTTACATTTAAATTGTGATAAATTGCTGTTTGATCTTTGCCCAAAAATTTAAGAAAAAATATTTTAAAATTTCTTCCCACCTTATGTGGCTGACCATCGGCCGGAATAGTGCAAGGATGGTCTATAGGAAAGTAGGTGGATGGCATTTGTTCAAGTGACTGTAAAAATGAATTTTTTCACTTAAAAATATTTTTAAAAATATTTACATGAATTGAATAATTTTCTGAACCACTTCCATGCACAGATGTTGCAATTGCTGCAGCTCTCATTTGTTGTTGTAAATGCTGAAATTTTTGGAAAAATTATTTTTTCGTTATGTTGATTAGTGAGTCTGAAAGTCTATCCTTTCTAACCAACCATTTTGCTAAACCCTCTATTTTATGGACAATTTTTCACTCAATTAAGCTTTCTACGGAGCTAGCTATCATAGTGTACAGGGCTGTGCGCCAAAATTTTCTCGAAAAACGCCACTCGAAAAATTTTTCAAATTTTTAAAACACGCCAAACGCAAAACGCCAAAAATCTGCCAAAAATGTACGCCAAACGCCATGGCGTTCAGCCCGGATAGTGTAGACAATATTCTATAAAATCCTCTATTTAATGGAAACCTTATGGTTAATAGACCCTAATTTAAGCAATGTCCTCAATATAACAGACATATTAGGAGCACCCTCTATTTTATGGACGCTATTAAATAATTAATCCCTCAATTTTGTGGACTTTTAAATGTATCCATACAAAAGAGGTTTACAAAATAGAGGTGCTTAAAATAAGATTTCTATTTGCCTGTGCATCAATTAGCTCATTATAGTCAAAAGATCCAATCCCCGCATCCAAATCCTCTTGAGAAGCAGCATGGCTGTTAAGCATTCTTCTATGTCTAGCCGTTGCTGTTGAATGATTTCTTTGTCGAAAACCACTAAAAATTTAAAGAATTTAAATTAAACAAAATAAACTAGCCTAATAACAGTTCTTTGAAGCATTGCATTAAGTGAAGGAACGCAAGGAACTGAATTTGCAGAACAAGGCTGTGCTGTGCTAAGAATTAATTGGGCATCTTTCCAGTCCTAACGAAAAATAGGTAAATTTAATAAGTCTGGAGAATATTTCTTTCTCGAATTTTTAATCAAAGCTGTTTCGGAATCTAACTCGAAAATCAGAGGTCGAATTTGATTTTCTGGCCTTTGATTTTTTGAACCCTGAGACAAAAAATTTCCCTCGTCACTCCTAAGAGGAGAATGTATCCGTTTGGGATTAAAAAGATTCCTAGCCAAGATCACTTTAACTGTGCTGGATCAATTCAATGACCAATCTAAGAACATGGGCGTACAGTCCTGGAAAAGTGACCTCCTATGATCTAGACTACCCTCCTACATCCTCCTCCGTTGAGGAGGGAGGAGGGAGAAAGAACAATCCAAGAACCTGACCGTACAACCCTGGAAAAGAAGCCTATACGAGGCAGGAAATCTAAGCATCTGTTAGGGGTGGCCAAAAACTTTCTAAATTTTTAAATTTAAAAATTTGCCTCGTCAGTATTTTGCTCAACCATTCCATGGAAGGAAAGAAGAATAGCTTCAGAACAATCTTCCTCCCTTCGTTCCTTTTTCTCTTTTAAAAGTTTCTCTTCTTTCTTTTTAATTTCTTCCTCTTCCTTTACTCGTTTTTCTTCATTTTCCTCTTCCTCGTCTTCCCTTTCTTCAGGTAAATTTTCGTTGCTAGTTCCAGCCTTAATTTTCAATGAAGAACGAGACATTTTTCTTTTCGACAAGTAACGGCTGTTTAAGACACCTAAAAAATTTTTTTGAAAATTCTTTCCAAATTTCACGAAAATATTCACCAGAACTCGAAGCTCTCAACGAATACGAAGGCCTCCATGTACAACTAAAAACTTGGTAGACCAATAAAAGTTCGCATTGTCCATCCCCAATAGAAGAGTCAATTGAAGAATCCTCCTCATTTGACAATATTTCAACGAGCAAATTGATGCTTCTAAATAAATTTTTGGGAAATTTAAATTTACTACAAAAAATTAGAAGAGGATGGCGAAATGGAGAAGAATAATAGTAAAGAAAGGCTGAATGTTAGGTACCCTTGGAGATCTAAATAAAATCAAAAGTAGTTGTAAAATCGGAATTTCTAAATCTGGATTACTTGCTCTTCAACTCGTTATCCAGTTTGGTGTAAAAGGGGTTTAGAAAGGAGGGTTCCAGATTTTGAGAGTTCAAGACTCGCTTTTAAACAAGTACATCAAAAACTCTATAATCTTTTCTTCATGGGGAGAGAGGAATGACAACATTGTATCGCATTCCCTCATAAGGTTCCGGATTCGAAACTTTCGGTTCCGATATGGGATCCAGATGCCCGAAGATTTCTCATAATCCGCCAACCTTATTCCCTCATTCCCCTAAAAACAAAAAAATCTTTTTTCCATTCCCACCTTTTATTTTTGTCATATTCCATTTTCCCTCTCTGTTTGTTCAATTCCCATTCAGACTTTGCTAGTCTTTCCTTTAACTCGGCCAATTCCTTTGCTTTTTGCCTCAATTCGCTTCTCGTTTCTCCAGCTGTTTTACCTCCAAAAAATTTTTCTTTAGTTTAACAATAAAATTATCTAATTCACCATAATAATCAAGAAATGAGCTCAAATTCTTCATTGAATCCTCATTTAATAAAAATAAGCTGGTTGGTGCAAATTGCATCGAAACATCTTTAAAAGGAAGAAATAAAGAGAGACCTCGCATAGGATACCCCTTTGAGGGGCTATTCCCAACCCCCCCCCCCCCTTGGGACTGAAAGATCGTAGTTTATAAGGTGTATCTTTAAATATCGCTTAGACAGCTCCACTCTTAAATGGATCTAGTATTGGAGCATATTGAGGTCCGACTGTATTTAAAAGTCGTTTCTCCCCTCATCAATAAAAATTTCCAAAAAATTTACACACTTTGTTGTGCTCCACCTTCAATACACCCATTTATTTGTTGTTGGTCTTGTATTTGTTGAGCTGCTTGGACTCCACAACGTCTCTGTTGAACAGCATCAGTGGAAACTAGGGCATTCTTTCCTATCTAGAAACAAATTTATTAAGCGCGTTTCAGCGCGGGTTCGCGTCCATTTTTATTTGCTATTTTTCCTAAAGCTGGGAAAATTTTTGAGATTTTTTTTTCCAAAATTTCCCCTCAAAAAACTATCATCTCTACCTGTTTAGCAACACCATCTAGAACATCTAGCCTTTTCTGTAATACATCAATTTGATCGTTTAAAGCAGCACAATTCCCCTCTAAATCGGTTGTTTCCATTTCAAGAAAAGATATCTTTTTAGGGAAAATTAAATGACTAATTATGTGAAATATTTTCCTCTTACATTTTCACTTCCATCATCATTATTACAAAATTGGGGTATTTCGACATAATCAACATCCAAAATTAGCACACCGCTTTGACCATCTACGCGGATTGAGTCACGCGCGATCATTGGAGAGACATTCTGAGATTTAAATAAAATATAAATTTTTAGAAAAAATTTTCAGATTTTTAATAGATTAACTTGAAAAATTACTGTATTTATGTAATAAGAAAGCATAAAGCTGTATTTTAAAAGATTACAGTATTTAGTTTTCGATTTTATTTATTATAGGTTTGATTAATTAACAAGAGAATGACAATGAGACCCAGTGCAATTAATTAAGATAATACGGTACATACGGATTTTAAGTAAAAAACACAGATTTAAGGACATTGTAAGGGCATTCCTGCTTCTAAGTGCATTATAAAAATTTATAAGGACGTTAGTGTTTCTAACGATATAAATAAGATTTTCTAAGGATACTAATGATTTAATAAGGGCATTTCTAAATTCTAAGGACATAAATAATATTTTCTAGGTAGACTTACATTAATTCTAATCATCATCTTAAAAGGCAATTGAATCTGTTCGGGCCTCTGAAAAACAATTTTCCTCTTAACCTCAGCCCTATCCAAATAAACAACAACAGATTTAGTAATTAATTCTTTGGCTTCTAAATTCAATATAGGCATTGACTGTTCTGAAGTAAAACTTGATTTTTGTGAAATTATTGGGGAAAAGTCTGAAGAAGTTGTTGTTGTTGTTGCAGTCATTCTTTTAATTAAAATTAAATAAATTGAAATCCAAAAATTAAAAAATAAACGGAGAAAACGAAAATATAAAAATAAAATTTTTAATGAATAAAGAAGCATATTAGATAAAAAAAATGGTGGATTGGAGGGGTATTTTTGGGGAAGAAAAATTTTTGAAATTTTTTTTGAAAAAATTTTTTAGGGAAATATTTTTGAATTCTATGAGTTTTTTTGAAAATTTATTTTTGAAAATTATTTTAGAATTTTTTAAAAATTTTTTGACAATTTTTTGGACTGTTTTTAGTTAAATAATAAGATTAAATGTACTCCATATATATTTTTATTTTTACATAAAAACAGTCTTATGTCTTTTGCTGTCAGAGCTAAAAAAATTTCCTTCTTCCCGTAAATGCTGAAAATGCATAAATACGACAGGAGCTCTTCTCATAATACCTTCACTTAGCAAAAATTAAAAAAAATATTTTTTGGGGGAAAAATAGGTAAAAATATGGCATGGGACATTTAAGGTGGTAGAAGAGAAGGAAATGAAGAAGAAAAATGGAGGAAACAACGGAAAAATGGAAGAAGGAAAAATGGAAGGAAGGGAAGGATTGACTGATTAAAACGGTGATTGAATGAATGAAAATAATTTTTAGTTAAGTAGAGAGAATAGCTAAAATGGCTTCCTTTTAAGAAAGAGGTCCTTTTATCAGCCGGTCCAACTAACTAAATTTATTTATATTTAATGTCCAATCTACCCCCCAAAAATTTTTCCTTCTTCGTTTCCTACACGCCCCCTCCTCTCCCTTCCCTTTTTGTTTTCAATGTAATAACAGTAAGGCAGATCCACGGGGGCCTACCAATACCTCCCCCCCTCCCTCCAAACCTCTCTCCATATCATAGCTACCCAAAATTGGAGAGAAAAGGGGGAGAAGATAAAAAAAGGTGTTTGTTAGCAACGAAATGTGCCTTCCCTTCTCTTTGAAAAAAAGGGTTTTTGACTCTTCCTCCTCCCAACTAAAAAAATCTATCTCAAAAATGGCTCTGATTAGCGCCCAAAGACCGCACAGCAATTTTTGTCTGAAAAAAAACACAAAGGCCTTTATCGTCGTTGAAAAATTGTCTGGGTCGTAGAAATTTTTTTTAGTTTTTATTTTTATAATAAATAATCAACCTTTATACAAATTGTTTTTTTAAATTTAAAATTTAATTTGAAAATAATAAAGGCATTAAACCAGGGCTGTATACAATCAAAATGATTTCCACACCACGAAATTCACAATTAGTTCTAAAATCATGTTTTCCGCGAGTCATCGCGTGAGTCGCAGATTATCAAGCTCCTTATCCCTTATCCACAAATACACTTTTCATTCGCAAATATGCCAAGTTCGTAAGATGTCTATCTCATTCACTTAGAGAGAAGCATCTTTAGAAAGGCTCTTTCACTTTAGTAGTTTCCCTATAAATTTTAGGTCTCGGGCATTTCAATATGTCCCTTCCCTTGAAAAGGAATATTGGAATAACAGTAAGGCAGATCCACGGGGTCATCTTGATATGACAACATTTCTAGGATCTAGATGTAACGACACTTTTCTGGTTTGAATTTTGTTGACTTTAGAAGGAAAGTGAGATAAGAGGGGGAGTCAAATCATGTTATAACACACCTTTTTGGACCGAATTGAGTTGACGTTGGAATTGAAGCTGCGTCGGATCGCGCGTCATTATAGAGATTCATCTGTATATTAATTTCCTCAATCCGATTCACTCTACAAGTACAGAGAGTACAGTATTATTGACAGGGCTCCAAAAGGAAAAATATTTTTTTAATGATTAAAAGGGAACTCAAAAACCCAAAAATTCTTTGTTCACGCTTATAACAAAAAATTAAAAAATTTTTTTATCAAAAAATTACATAAAATACCATATAATACCCTTCAAAAACATTAAAATACACATAAATATAAATTGTCAACACAAAACAAAAAAACTTTCTAGCAGAAAATATTATTGAAAAATAATAAATATTTAACTAGTAAATAACTGATAAAAATGCTTTTAAGTATATTTTGGCCTTGAAAAATGAAAATAAAAATTTGGGAAAATATGCGTTCTGATTAATTACTTTTTTAAATTATCTTAAAGGCATTTTGAAGGAAAAACAAGCATTTAAAGGAAAAAATAAAAAAAATTTTTCCTTGCTAAAATTTTTTTGAAAAAGTAAATATTTTAAAAGGGGTGAGGGACAAAACACCGTCCGACCAAAATATTGACAGGAAATTAAAGTAAGATCTGTAGACTTTTACAGCAGTGCCGAGGCGGATTTTAAAAAGTTAAAGACGAAAGTCAAAAGGCTGAAGTAAAAAAATTAAAAAGCGAAAGGCGAAGCCCCAACCAATGCAAAAATTTAGTGAAATTTGAGAAGGCGGAAGCCATGTTCTTCAAAAAATGAACTCGACTTCTGGCTGTATTATTTTACCCTAATACCTTTAGACTCCTTGGCATTGGTCTTGGTTAGACCCAGTGCTTGTTAATTTCGATTTTGCTCGTACTCGTACTTCGGTCTGATTTACACCTAGTAACCGTACTCGTATTTCGTACCAAAGTACGAGTACGAATTTTGGTATGAGCGTTCAAGCACTGGTTAGACCACACTCCTATGTCTTAACAAATTTTATATTAGAATTTGTTCACTCAAGTTACTCTAATGTGAGGACAGCATTTTGGTCGGACGGTGATTTGTCCCGACACGATATAAAGGAAAGGAAGAAAAATAAATTCTTTCAAAATTAAATTTTTAATTAAATAATTAATTAATTTAAATTGGGCTTTGACTTTTTCGATTAAATAAATTTAAAGTGCAAAGGAAGGTTAAGTAGCGATGCTTATTTTGTTTTTAATATTTTTAGAGGGCGAAAGATTAATTTTGAAATAAATTTAGCACGAGTTAATTAATTAGTTGGGAAGTTATTTTGCAATTTAGGAGAGGCGTGGGTAGGCAAAACAACGATCGAGCATAGCGTGGAAGTTTAATTTTAAAAAATTCCTTGTCCTTCCTCCCTTCCCTGCGCGTGATGTCAGCATTCTCAAAAATTAGGAATAATAGCTTTAACATAAATTTCAATCCCTGAAGGGGTTATTAAAGCGCATTGGATCGAATTCTACAATAAGGAAGGCCTAGTTTCCCCTCTTATATTTTAATATACGAGGAATGGGCGATTGGGAGAGATAAAAGTGATAAAGTCGGACCTCGTACGATGTCCCACGTTCAAAAACAAAAATTAAAGTCCTCTATTAACGTCGGGTTTTCTGCCCGAAAGTTTTGTACAAACGAGGGTCAACTGTGTTTGACCCTTCCTCTATTGGGCTCTAGATACTAAAATTATGTATTCCGCGAGTCATCGCGTGATCAAGTTCTCTTCATAACTTTAGAGAGAAGCAGCTTTAAAAAAAGTGTGATCAAGTCTATTTAGGTAACATGCTTTAAATTGAGGTTAGCCTGTGGCTACATAAGTCGGACTAATCTCTAATAATAACCGTATTTAACAAGGAAGGGCGTCTTAAAAATTTTGAATAAAATAAAAAAAAACAAAAATTAAAGTCCTCAATTTAACCTTTTTTCTTTCTAAACAAGTCATTAAATTTTAAATTAAATAAATAGTTAGACGGTCGTAAAAATTCAAAAGACGGTTATTATTAAAGCAATCAAAGTATATTTATTTATTTAATTAATTTTTTAGACAATTTAAAAAATAATAAATTTTGAAAGGTGAACAATTTATGAAGTTTTATAAAAATACAAGGCCAAAATATATACCTATTTTTTATTTTTAAAATTTCAAGAGATCAAACATCTCTTAATATTCCCTACATCTTTTTATTTTCACTATACTAATGACTCCATTATAAGCCTATATTTTATCATAAGTCTGTAAGGGTTAAGTAAAGATTTGTCTGCAAAATCTGTCCGTAACTATGAAAAGATGTCCGCAGATAAAATTGCATGGTTTTACGGACAGCCGTGGATCTGATACTTGATTAAAAAAGATCCTTTTCCATTTAATTACCTCTTATTCTACATATTAAATATTTTTTTTTAATTTTGTAATAAAAATAAAAGCAAATTAGGGGGTTTCCTAGATAATTATTTAATTTTATTATTTATTTTTTGTTTCAATATCATCTCATGACCATTAACAATTATTTAACTGTTTATTATCGGCTGGCATTTCTTAAATATTAAACACAATCAACCCACAATTCGTCGCTGTTTTATTACTAACATATTACGAAAAAAGAGGAAATGTTAAAAAGAGATTCCCGAAGGAGAAGGGGGAGGACGGGGAAGTCCAAACAAATCACAAGGGAAGAGGGGGAATCCCCCAAAAGTTAAAAAGAGGGCTAGGAGAGACGGACAGTGCGAGGTGACCGAAAAAGAGGAAAAGTGTGTAAACTTTATTTTGTAATATTTGAAGAAATTGAAGGAAATGTAGGGAAGGAAGTGAGCTAAAAATTAGACACTTACTTCTATGTTTAATTGGGATTCCCAAAATGGATGGGTGAACGGACTGATTAAATGAGTTTAGGGACGGACTGATTAAATGAGTTTAGGATAAATCAGACAACATGAGACTGCAATCTAACCTCAGTCTGCAGTCTAGCCTTCCGTTAATTGCCAGTCGGGTAGCCTAGCTCGGGTTATATCAGGTCTTTCAGTTTACGGCTTCTCGGGTTTGTGAATTTTAGTTTCGGCAACCAAGTTAATTTAATGAGTTCCACAGCTACCCTATCCGAGGATGGAGGTTCTTGGAAGACTGAGGATATCCTAACCGTAATCTAATACCCCACTACTGGACCATGCTAGTGCTACTAGGTGGAAATTAAAATCCAAACAAATTTACGAAAAATTTTTCAGCAAAACCCCAAATTTTTCCAAAAAATTAACAGAAACCCTCATTAATTACAAAAACTTTTTCCATTGCAAAAATAATCTTTATGTTTTCCCCATTTTTCAAAATAAAATTAATAAAATCATCCATATTCAATTTTAGTCACCTGCCCTCACTTTTCTTCCACCCATTCCTTAATATTATAAATAATTCTTGTCTTTCCTAAAATTATTTTAAATAACGTGGAAAATCAAAAAAAAAATCAAAAAATTAAAAAA